TCTTTGAAAGCTACTGTTTCACTATGCAGCTCAGGAAGGCCTTAAACTCACATTGTAGCCCAGGTTGGTCTCGAACTCACAACAATCCTCCTGCCTCAGCTTCCCAAGTGCTGGGATGATAAGCATGCACTACCCGGCCATAGTATGGAAGTTTTGGAATCAGTGATCTTTCAGAAAATTTTCCCATTTTTGAAAAGATAGGTCCATAATCTAATTAAAGTTCAGTTCTTAACAGTTTCCCTTGGCCTAGTGTTTAAACATTGTGGTGCCACATTAGACAAAAGCAATCAATATTCATAAAAGTTACTGATGAATCAACCACTGGAAAGGCCAAAGGCATGTTCCAGGTTGTGGATGCTCAATTGGCTACTGTATTTTGTGAAGAAATTCCATTCACAGGCTATCTTTTTGGAAGGAAGAGGGCAGTACTAGGAATTCAACCCTGGGTCTTCTTAGTGAGCTATGCTGTCTAATCTTTTTGCTTATTTTTTGAGACAAAGTTATACTAAAATACTAAATTGCCCTGAGTGTCTCAAAGTGCTGGGATTATGGGCATGTGTCACCATGCCCAGCCTCAATGGTTATCTCAATGTTGACAATAATAATAGTAGCAGATGCTGCCTTTATGAATATCTATTATGCCCTATTTTAATGTATATTATTTTATTCTCATACAAAGTAAACAGCATTAACTTTTTTTGTATTTTTTTAGGAAAGGGAGCATTAACATTTTACAGGTGAGGAAATGCTAACACAAAGAAGCCATACAAATGGTAAATAGCAGTGCCAGGATTCAAACTTGTGTGCGTCGTCAAAGTCCACATTTTATTGTTTAATATTGCAAATAACTAGAACTGGGCATAAGACAGTGTAATTATGAGTGATTTTCCACCCTACCTTCAAAGTCTTCTAAAACATTTATTATCACAATACAATAAAACAAAAAGGATAATAAGTACTATTAAGTAGTATAGTCTACTTCTTGGTTCAAAGTAGAGAAGCAAAAATTACCAAGCAGAAAATGAAATGAAGATCAAAGAATTCTCACTCTTAATTAATTGGAGTTAACAGTGGTTAAAAAACCTCAGCAAGTCAGGAGTTAATGAGATAAAAGTGAGGGCAAAGACTTGGGACTGACAAGATAAACGAAGCTATTTCAGAAGTCACTGCACTGGGAATGAACCCATGGTAGCTGCAAACGGCTTTGTGGGCAGTAGTGTAGGCATTGAAGTATTCTGCTTTGAAAGGCAAGTCCCTGTCTTGGAACAGGCAGCTTCTGAGGATTAAAGTGAGCAGTGTATAACCTGAGCACAGGACAAGGATTTAGCTTTTAACTGGGAATATTTAGTAATAAAAGCAGGTGGATAGTGGAGGGAAAACCACCTAAGTGGGAGAGGTAGTGGATACAACATTCTGTGTGCATGGCCTGGAAGACTTTGGCACTTCTAAATCATAATTATTGGTCAGGACAAAAGCTCAGGTTAAGAAGCTTCTACTGAGAAAAACTGATAGAACCAATAAAAGGGAGGTTAGGTGAGCACAACTCTGAGGCTGCATTCCAATGAAGCAGATCTACTTTGATATTTGTATGGGTCTCAAAAACAGTCCAACCTTTCCAAGTGTGCGGCCCCTATGAGCATGTCTGGGAGTACCAGTCAATGAGGCCCAAAGGACAGGAGGGGTCCCAACAAAGCACTACTCAGGAAAACAAGTACCTTCCACCTTAGTGGATTGCTGCTTCAGCTTTAAGTTCTTTGCGTGGGTCTTCCCCAGGTAATGCGACTGGGCCACAACAGGGGAGGAAAAGGTCATGTTACAGATGGGGCAGCACTGGTTCTTGTCTTTGCTTCTGCTGCTCTTCTGGTTGGGAGAAAGAACACAGGTCTGATCATGCCACTGCTCAGCCAGAAAATCTTTGATGGTTCCCCACTGCCCACAGGATACTGGGCATTTAAGACCCCCTTCACATATTAACTCTCAACCTACCTTTCTGGGTTTTTCTCCAGCTACTTTGTCCCAGGCTGCATCATTTCCCACTGTAGTTTTCTGTCGTTTCCCTGCTTTATTTGGGATATTCTTGTTGCTTACAATGTTTTTTTCCTTTCCTTTCTGGCATTATGTTTACTTGGTCTTCAAGGCCCACTTTAAATATAAGCTCTTACTCTGGGAGGTTTTTACTAAAAAAAAAGTCACTTAGCAAACAATTATCTAGCCCCTTTGTATACACATTCCAGGAAAAATTAATGTTGCTTTTCCTCTGTAATACCAGAGCACTAAACAGATTTTTACTATACTTCTGCTAACACCATAAACCAGTGGTGACAATCCAATGGCATGTGTGCCACAGCAGGTGGTTTGTATCATTGAAAGTTCCAAAAGGTTTGCCTTCCGTGCCCTAACCTGACAGTGTCATAGCTTAGGAACCCTTTCTGAGAACTCAAGCGCAACATCAGGGAACTGACTCCTCTTTGTTCCCTAGCCTCATACTCTGCTGGAGTCTGGCATACAGTAGATGTCCATGGTTCTTTGAATGGGAATATCATTGGGTTTTATTTCTTGATTATGATTAGAACAGAAAATGTATTTTAAGCTTATGTTAAGATTCACCACTTTTCCTGAAAAAAATGACACCTGAATAAGGTATTCATTCATAGATATTCCCAACCTTGGTACTACTGACATTTTGGGCTCAGGAATTCTTTGTTGGTGATGAATGCTGTGATCTCATCTGAACTACTCAGTCACCCTGCCAGGAGCTGAGAGAACTAAAGTACAAAGAAAGAAAGTGACTTGCCCAAGGTCACAGGGCTGCTCTTGCCTTCCTGAATTGTAAATAATGACAAGCAAACAGGGTATGAATCCAGTAAACTCTATGAAGGACACACAAGGCCTGGTCTTTTAACCATTGGCTCCTATAACAGAAGGCAGCAAAATAAACTCTTAATTCATTAAGCATCTACTAGGAACTGGAGTTATAACTCACAGTATTTTCTTTTTTTCTAATACATGGTCTTACTATGTAGTTCAGGGTGGCCTTGAACTCACTACATAGCCCACACTGGCCTCAAACTTGTGGCGATCCTTCTGCCTCAGCCTTCCAAGTTCTGGGATTATAGACTGTACTCTCATGCCCACCTGAGAGTATTTTTTTTTTTTTGTATTTTTTAGGTAGGGTTTAGAGTCTCACTACGTAGATTTGACTCATAGTGATCCACCTATGTTCAGCCTCCCAAAGAGCTGGAATTACAGGTGCGCACCACCATGCCCAATCTCAATCGCCTGCAAGTCTTGGGGTCAGCATGGCATGCCCGGGATCAAACCCCAGCCACTGTGTATGCCTAAGCAGGTACTTTAATCCACTGAGCTATTTGGCTGGCCCTTCACCTGAGATTATCTCCACTTTATGAGTGAAGTTCAGAGAGCCTGCTTACTTCTTTTTTTTTTTTGGCGGAACTGGGGATTAAACTCAGATCCTTGCATTTGTCAGTCAAACGCTTATCCTACTGAGCCATCTCCCCGGCCCCTGCCTGCTTACTTCTTCTGCTTACTTCGTATCGATGTGTACAGCCTCCCACAGAACAAAACGACAAAAATGATGGTACTCCAGAGGGACTAGTGGTTGTTTTAGCATAATCCTTGAAGTGATTCTGAGCCAAAACATAAAAGCAATTACTTTTTTTTTTTTTTTTTTTGCGGAACTGGGGATTGAACTCAGACCCTTGCACTTGCCAGGGAAGTGCTTATTCCACTGAGCCATCTCCCCGGCCCTTGCAATTACTTCTTAAAGCAGGCACTGGTTTTACTAATTTATTCAAAACATTCAAGTGCTGAGCTCAGTTGTTTTCCATGGCTCTCAAGAAAGTATGCAGTCTGGCTTCCTTCTGCTTTCTCCTGGGCAGCTTCTTGTCTTGATCCACAGAACCACTGGGTGGTAATATATAACAATAGTTCCACTTATTAAGTCTGTACTATGTGTCAGGTCCCATGTTGGGTGCTTTTTTAAAAATAATTTTCTTGTTTTACTTAGGAAAAATTCTGAAAGGATGTTATCCTCATCTTTGTAGAGGAGGAAATCAAGGCTCAGAGAATAAGACCTGGCGAAAATACACAACAGGGCTAGGATTTGCAGCCAAGTCACTGTGACTCTTTCACCGCACCAACCTGCTTGCTGGCTTCATCAGGAAGTGAGCGGTCTCAATGTGGCAGCTGTATTACCTGATCTGAGTCTAGCCTCTTCGTTTCCCCCTTTAATGTCTCCATTCCATGGATTGCTAGGTATCTCTTCACTTTGTTGGCATGTTTTTTGCTCTGCAAGAACCCAGGAAAAAGATGAAAGATAGCCAAATGCCATTTCATGTTGAAGGCACTCAAAATCATTAAATTTTTTTCCAATTTGTCCTCTCAGAAACTTCTGTGAAGGTCGGGAGAGGAGTTCCAACTCTATGTAAGCCATTTTACATGTTAAGTTTAATCTTCAAGACAATCTATGAGAAAATTGTTACATGAAGAAACTGAAGCTGGAAATGAAGTGTCTTGCCCACGGGTAGCAGAGTTGTGATTCAAATATAGGTTAATTTAAAACAATGACTCTTATTTTCTACTATATCAAGCTACAAGGAAGATGCACATATAAGGGCTCTGATTTGTATATGTGAGATGAGACTGAAGGAAATCAAGTCAGTCTTCAAGTATAAGCTGATACACAGGAAGGTAATATCTAGTGGCAAAGAATCACCCTTCACCATATAAGCCAGGGAGAAGTGAGGGCTTAGCACTGGGTTGGAAAAACAAAGTACTTCTAAAGTACAGTGACTTACCTGGTAATGTGCCAGCTTCTGGGACTCAGAAATCAGCAAGGCACAGCAAACCTTACACTGAGTGTTGGTGAAGAGACACTGATTCTTCTGAATCATGTGCTCCACTACAGAGAAGAAAAGAAAAAAATTGAGTTAATAACAGTATCTCTGGGCTGGGGAGAC